GCATCAGCTAGTTACAGCCACCTCTAGCTTTCTTTTAAAAGAGAAAAGCAAAGATTGGACTTTGAAGTCTTTTGGGGTGGGGTGCTGGGGGAGAGTTTAGGGATAGAGGGGTGGTAGAGAAAGGGTTGGCTGTACATGGCAAAGTCTCCAATGCCCGTGGTCTATGTCCAGAACAGCGTTTCTTAAACCTGGATCCAACTTCTCCTGGGCGCCGTCCTCACACAAACACGGAAGGGCACGCCCGTCGCACTGCCAGCCCGACGCCACTCCCTGCTTCGGGTGGTGGGAGGGGAATGGACATTCGTGGAGCACTTACCGCGTGTTGGGCACGTTGCTCTCACCAACTCAGCTAAACCTCACAACAAACCTACGGCGTGGGTATGCTCAGCCTGAGGACTCAGATGAGAAAGTTACGCCCATTGCCTGTTTCCTCAGCAGCATAGCTCGGATCCAGACTGAGGTTTGGTTGAGTATAGACCCGGCACTCTTCATCTGTACACTGGGTCATCCATCCATTCACCCACCCATCGCTCATTCATCAGCCACCCAACCGTTAGTTATCCGTCAGTCCATCCATCATCCATCTTCCCCACCCATCTGTTCATCCATCCTTCATCCATTCACTTGACAGACATTTATGGAGCACCTACTATGCGCCAGACCTTGCTCTACACTCACAGGATGTAGTAGAGGAACAAGAGATGTGTTTCTTGCCCTCAAGAAGCCTTCAGTGTAGAGGGATGCCAAAGACAGTGAACACCTACAGAGATGATGGCTGGCTGTGAGGAGTAAGATGGAGGGAAATAAAACAGGGTAAGGGGAAAGCATTGCAGATAGGCACGGCCAGGGTTAGTGAGGCACCTAGGATGTGAAGCTTAAGCAGGGACCACTCTAGATTGAGTTCATGGTCTTGCCTCCTTAAGGTGTACACTTTCAGGTGCCTCTCTCGTCTCAGCCTAGTCTTGGCCCCGCGGGCAGAGGGTACTGAAGGGCAGGCAACATTTGGGCAGATGCTAGAACAGGGAGACTAGGCATGGCCCTTTTTGGCACGGCCACTGTTCCTTCTTTTCTTCGTCATCTCAGAAGCAAGGCCGTGAGAGAGCTCAATGCTTTTATTCAAAGAGAGGTTTTGGCTATAGGGCATGTGTGCTCGCCGGAAAGACAGAGGGAGACGGAGAGACAAAAAGCAAGCCATCCACCATGGGGATGGCCACACCTCAATCCTTTCTCCTCCATTCTCCTCTCGGCATCTTGGGCACACACGCACACACACACCCAGTGTGAGTTTAAGCCGCCAGGTCTGGGACTTGGACTATAGTCAACTACATGGGAGTCCAGCGACGTAACCATTATGCCATCTGCTGGTCCCACTTCTTGAGGGCCGGAATGTGAAAGTGGGCTCATGGGTACCTTTGGCCACGTGAATGAGAATCATTGATGCAGCTGACTGTGACCTAGAGATAGAAGGCACTGGCTGAGGACAGCAGAGCCCCCGGCCATGCTGATGCCTGAATGGCTGTGTGGAGCATGGCCTGCCAGCCCCTGGGACTATTGTCTAAGAAAGAAGTAAACATCTATCTAGTTTGCAACACTACATCTCGGGGTTTCTTTGTTACAGCAGCATACCTACTGTGCAATGTTCCAATAGCAATGATTTTCTAGAATAGCTGCTTTTCTCTTGGAGTTTTTAAGTTATGCAGAGAGGCTTCTTCGCCATGGTAGGGAAGAGAGCTGCAGTGAGCTCCAGGCCCACACCTTCTTAATTTAGTCACCCAGGCAGAAAGAATGAGGCTGTTTATATCTGCATCCATCGCTCAAGAAGAGGTTCAGCTGGCCTTGCTTGGTCTTCATGCCATCGCTGGGGTCAGAGAGTCATGGATGGCCAGGCTTGGGTCACACACTGGAGCAGATCCTGTCAAAGCTTGCATCAGAACTTCACAGAATGGGGTGGGCAGTTCCCAAAGAGGAAGAGGCTGCTTTTATCAAAAGAAGTGAGCAGGGCAGAGAGACACATAATAGGCAAAATTCTGAATTTCCATGACAACCACTTGTATCTGGATGATCTTGGGCTTGTCACAAAACCTCACTAAGCCTTGCTTTTCTCATCCGCACGATGGAGTACCTATGGCATAGGTTTGTAAAGATAAAATAATAAAATATAGGTAAAGTGCTCAGCATAAAGCCTAACCCATAGTAATCATTCAGTTCAAAGTGACAACCTTTTTTTTTTTTTGTCTATTTATGTCTTTATTATGAGGTATCTTTTGGGCAACATATAGAAGGTTCCTGTTTTGTTTTTTTTTTTTTCATTCAGATAGTCTATATCTTTTGATTGGGGAGTTTAACATATTTACATTCAATGTTATTAGTGCTATGTGTAGATTTACTCCTGCCATTTTTGTTACTTACATTTTAGTAGATTTGAGTTTTCTTATTTTCTTTCTTCCTTTTGTTTCCAGATATACTACTTCTTTATGTATTTCTGGCAGAGCTGGTCTAGTGTTGATGAATTCTTTCAGTTTTTGTTTCTCTTGAAATCATTTTTTTTTTCCTTCCAGTTGGAGGATAGATTTGCTGGGTATAGTATTCTTGGCTGATTCTCCACACACTCCCCACCACCTTTTAAATAAACACTCCCATTGCCTCTTGACCTACATGGTTTCTGCTGATAAGTCTGAGGATAGTCAGATGGGTTATCCTTTATAAGTGATTTGATGCCTCTATCTTACCATTTTTAGAATTTTGCCTTTGCCTTTCGACATTTTGATTATGATGCACCTTGAAGAAGATTTTCTTATGCTGACTCTATTTGCCACTCTTTGCATTTTCAGCATATGGATGTCTGTATCTCTCTCTAGACTTGGAAAGTTTCAGGCAGTGGCCCAGGAAAGATAAGAAGTAAGCTGTGTCTGGCAGACTCACGTGGACCCTGTACAGTTGGCTTGAAGGCATGAGGATAGGATGCCTCTTAAAACCCAAAATTGGGTCAAGCCAGTGGCACAGTGGTTAAGGTGGTTGAACCCCACATTGCCAACTATGTGGTTTGAGTCCCAGACCAAGCAGCTTGAAAAACACACTGGACGTGCATGCCCAAAATCCCAAGAGGAAAATGGAGGAGAAGGGATCGCAGCATGACCACCCTCCTAGGAGGTGATTTCTCTCTCTCTTTCTCTCTTTCTTTCTCTCTCTCTCTCTCACAAGTACATGTACCTTATAGCAAAACAAATAAAAACAAACAAACAAAATCAAACGGGTTGGGCCGGCCCATGGCCTGGTGGTTAAGGTGGCTGGATTCCCCACTACCAACGGTGTGTTCTGAGTCCCAAACTCAGTGACTGAGAAACTTGCTGGGCACATATGCCCAATATCTTGAAAGGAGGGAGAAGTAGAGGAGAAGGGATTGAGGCACGACCATTCCCCATGAGGAATTCTCTCTTTCTGTCTCTCTCTCTCCCCCTTCTCTCTCATGCACATGGTCTTTGGAAAAGTTTAAGAAAAAAAAAAAATATATGACCTTAGCAAGGCAGACCTTAAGGTGCTAGAGGCAAGTCAAGCCTGACAGGTTCAAAACTAGCCTGTATGGCTGACTTGTAATACATGGGAATGGACAGGGCCAATTAGGGTTAAGCAGGCTTGGGCTAATAGGGCAGCCAGACTGTGCACTCTTTAGGATCAAGAGGTGGTCTGGGGTGGTTCCTAACTTCTCCCCTCTGACGTGGAGGAGGGAATCCCTGGTGCCTTCCTGTCAGATGCCTCTTCCCTTCCTTACAGTTCGGGAAGGTCCCTAGAAGCTGATGGCCTCAGAGGGGCCAGGTAGCCACCCACTATGTTTTGAGTCTGAGAGGAGGGACAAAAGACAACCATTTTTAAAAGGAATTATTTATTTTATTAATTCTTCTTCTTATTTTAATTTGATCAGAAAGAGAGAGGAAAACTGAGAAAGCAAGCTATCAGATGTGGGACTTGAACCGCGGTCTGCCATGTGGGAGTTCATTGCCTTAACCTACCATACCACTAGCTGGTCCCTACGGCCATTATTTTTATTTCTGAATACCTACCTATTATCCGACTTTGCTGATGGGTAAGGAGACTTAGGGGGATTTGGAGATGATGTGCAGTTAGGAAGCTCTATGGCCCTCGGGCTCAGTTCAGCCCAGTGAGCCCTGCGTGGTAAATGCTGTGGGAAGAGCTGAAGGTGTGGTGGGAGCCCATAAGAGACATCAAAGACTTCCGAGCACGAGACTGAGAGTGTCTTCCAGAGAAGGACAGGCTCTTCTGAATCCCTTATTTTTCAGTGACTCCTATTTTTTAGGAAGTGGAGAAAGGGAGGGTCTTTTCCCTTTCTTAAGAATAAATGCATGCTTTGTGCTTGGTTTAGATAAACTGGCTCAAAGTTTGTAAGTTTCTGTAAAAATAAAACGTATAGATTAGCGTTTCCTAAAGTGAGGTCTCTGGACCTCAGCCTCGGCCTCGCCTGAAGCCTGTTAGCAATGTACCGTCTCAGGTCTCACCCAGACCTACTGGATCAGACACTCTAAACAGGGGCCACTGGTCTTCACAAGTGTCACATATCAATATCAGCAGGGAGGGACTCTTTAAGAAACTTTGGAGAAATGGCAACACAGCAGCATCCCAGTCAGCAGTCACCAGCAGCTCATAGGGGAAGGGACTCACCTCGGGCCCCCTGGGTGCTGGCTGGAGTGTAGCCTGAAGGTCGTCTCAGTTCCCATGATGCTCTGCTCTGCAGTGCTGTAGGACTATCCGCAAGACCCCGGAGAAGGAAGGACCTGTGACTTACTTCTCTGTGTCGCAGAGATACAGCAACGGTCCCAACCTCAGCATTTATACCTCTTTGAGAGTTCTGCTTGTGATGTTGGACCTCATCAGGATGGAAATGAGAAATGTGTCCATAAGGGATTTGAAACAGGAGGTGGCTGAGTTGGAACCCTTATGCCAAGCCCTCGGGAGCCAGACAGCAATGAAGAACGAGGAGGGAAAGGTTATAAAAATGTTTAGTCTTTGCTTTATTGAGTTACAACAAATGAGCAACAAGTTAGAAAAATCGGGTTTATTCAAACTCCCTAGCATTTTATCTGTGCAGTGTACTCAAACGGGGGCCGGGAGGGAGATGGCAAAACACAACTCGTATTGCAACATTTACACCAGATACGTCTCTCGGCTTTCCTTCTTTCAAAGTTAGGGACTGTCTGGGAAAAAAGTGCACTCAGGTGTCTAAAATTGGCCCAAAACAAACACACAAACAAATAAACAAACAAAAATCAAGTCACGGTGAGGCATCAAGCTTAAATTTGTCAACTACCACACCGAGAAAGGACAGTTAAGAAGAGAAATGAAAACCAAAACTGTTCATCTTTGTACCACCTAGATAGGAAGAGCTTTTTTTTTTTTTTGTCTTTTTTTTTTTTTTTTATTATCACAAAAGTAACAATAATGCTAACAAACGTGGGAGCCCTTTCTGCTGGTTTTTAAAAGCTTGTGTGATGATGCTGCTCGCCCTGCTGTTGAGCTCTCCCAGAGCTGGCTGGGCCACACAGGTCAGACCCGCCTCCTGGCAGTTTGGAAAGCCTTGCGTGAGTCTAAGACAGGGACTCTCCCAAAGGCAGCCAGGCGAAGGACTGGGAACGGATTTGATCAGGAAGGTCTGCCCTCTGTAAATTCTCCTCCAGTGGAGACAAAACTCAAATTTCAGCTCTGCCTGTTGAGAAATCTCCTAAATTTCAATCTACCTTTAAAAAGAAATTCTCCCCACCTAAAATCCAGTATATATAATGGCACTAACACCCCCTCCCCCAAATTAATCAAATAAAAAAAAAAGAGAAAGAGAAAAGCAATGTGATTAGCCCTCCCTTCCGGAAAACACCTTCCAATGATAGTGCTGGGAAAGGGAGTTGCCCTTGATTAAAAAGGTAACAAAATCCCCACATCGTACAAATTTTCCAGTATAGCAAGAGGTGTGGGCCAGAGCAGAGGGGCAGTCTATTTACAGGAACCCACTGAAGACGCAGTAGTAGGACTTTGGCACTATGAACAATTCCTGCCGGTCCTCGGGGCAGTGCGCGGGAGCGGCTGGGGTGCTACACCACCCAGGCACGCAGGAGCGTGGGCAGTCCACTTGGGGGTCACGGGCGAGGGCGGCCCATGGCCAGGAGGGAAAAATTCTCTTCTTTCTTCAAAGACAGAGCGTCCCCTTCATCAGCACAGCAGTTCTGACAGGCGTCCCTGAAAGGATGACATAAACCCAGAGAGACAAGATGTCAACAAGGACCACCATTGCCAGGGGCAGAGGGCAGCTCGTGCTTCCTCCTGAGTCTTCCGGGGCAGGAGGATCCCTTGCAAAGCCTTCCCCAGACATGGAAGAGTGACAAACACCTTTAAGTATGAGACTTGTTTCAAGAAAGGATGTGCTTCCTGAGCGCAGACCGACATTATGGGATGTGCCACCAAGCTCCGGCTGGCTTTCTGGGAAGTGAAGTGGTGGCCTGTGACTCATCACGGCAAGTTCATTGGATTATTTCCTGAAGAGGCACTCAGTCACAGTGGCTCTTCAGAGGCCCCGGCATTCAGACCTGGATTCAGATGCTGAGTTTTCCACTTAATGACTCAGGGACTGTACCCATATGACTTAATCTCTCTAGGGCTTAGTTTTTGTTTTTGTAAAATGAGGGTGACAATGATTACCAAAACGGTTATTGTTACTATTATTATTTTTCTTTGGAGAGATGTTCGCGATAGGGCGTATGTGCTTGCTGGAAAGACAGAGCGAGACAGAAGGTGAGAAATCACCCCCCAGGGGCGATGGCCACGCTGCAATCCCCTCTCCTCCATTCTCCTCCTGCAATCTAGGACATGTGCGCACATGTGCCAGGCGTGAATTTTAAGCTGCCGGGTCCAGGACTTGAACGGCAATCAACTTCATAGGAGTCCAACAATGTAACCATTACACCATCTGCTGGGCCCAACAAAAAAACTATTTAAAAAAAAAAGATGTGGACGGGATTTCATGACAGGCTAGATGCTTATCAAATCTGTGGTTTCTCGAAGCCACTGGCTCTTTCCAGCCTCCCTCCTGGCAAGGCTGTGTTACTGCTCAGCTACTTCTGTGCCTGAGAAGGAGGCCCTGAGAAGTAGCTTTTGGACTGGAGACCCAGAGCAAGAAGAGGAGACTTCTCAGCCAGCGGCATCAATAGACCATCCACACTGTCATTCGTTCCTGTGTCTGGGTGTTAAAGGTCCCCCCTTCCCCAGACGCTCTGAGGAGTAAGGCTGAATATCGGAGTGAAGAAACCAACTTGGGAAAGAAACATGATTCCAGGAGTGCAACCACTGGAAAGGGATCCAGCCAGAGCCACCACCTTGTAAGAGCTACAGGGATCCTTCCAGGCGATATTGCCAACATCACTCGAGTTCACCAGGGAAAACTGGAAGCTTGGGGGGGGGGGAAGGGATCCCTGCGGGCCACTGCTGAGAGGCCCAGTCGGGAACCAGGCTGACCACAGGGGTGATGACAGTGACAGCAGCTAATGCTTCTCATGCTCAGCGGGAGCCCAGCCCAATACTAAGTGGCAATAGGGATTATCCCACTTATTATTTTTAGTTTTTGCTATAGGGTGTGTGCACTCTTGCCAGAGAGAGGGAAAGTGAGAAATCACCCCCTGGGGGGGATAACCATGCTGCAATCCCTTCTCCTTCAATTTTCTTGGGATTTTGGGCATGCTGCACACACATCTGGCATGATTTTCAAGCCTCTGGGTCCAGAACTTGAACTGCACAGTAAGCCATGTGGATTTAGTGCCTTAACCTCCACACCACTGGCTGGCCCCCATCCTACTTATTTATTTATTTTTGGAGAGATTTTTGCTATAGTGAGTATGTACTTGTCAGAGAGAGAGACAGAGAGACAGAAAGCAAGACCCCCCCCCACTCACCCCTGAGGGGTTGGCCATCCTATAATCCATTCTCCTCTTGGGATTTTGGGCATGCACACATACACGCCTGGTGTGAGTTTTATCGCTAGGTCTGGGACTTGAACCTTGATCGACTATGTGGGAATCGAGCAATGTAACCATTACGCCATCTGTTGGCTCCCACCCTACTTATTTGAACAGGTAAATGATGTTATGGACACCTTACAGCAAAGAAATCAAGGCTTGGAGAGAGTAAATATTCTTAACGTGGGGCAGCTACTAGAGGTGGGGCCCGATTCTCCACTGGCCAATCCAACCCCAGAGCTGCCCCCACCGACACCTGATGTGGGTCCAAGGCACACCCCGCTTCTTCATGCACGGAGCCACCTGGCAACAGGGGCGAGCACTTCTGATCACAGGTAGGGGCTGGGCATGCAGTGAGGACCACGGGCCTTACTGTAGACCCCAGGCAGAGCCCAAGGATTCCCCTGCATGAGGACAGCCAGCCTCCTCCTGTGCTCCCCAAGGAGCCAGGCTCCCCCAGGAGTGGGGGGCTTTCACTGCTCTGGGAAGGGAAGGTGTCACTGGTTGATGCCCACCTGAGTAATTTTCCAGACCCAGGAGACAAGACCCTAAGGAGGGTGGATGGCTGTTCTTCCTCCTCCCCACAAGGTCGGTACAGGGCTACAGGGCAGAGTGGAAAGAGCTGTGGAGTTGGGGACAGCTGGCATGCATGACCCGCCCCTTCCCGTCTGCCGACGCTGCGTACTCAGTCTCTCTGAGCCAATCTCTATTATACCGAACCCACAGGCTGCTGGGAGGGCTATGAGTGGGCTGTGCAAAGCACACAGGTCCTGGCACTGCCCGGGGTTTGAGAAATGTTGCTTCATTATTCCGAGGAAGGCTGGGTATAAATTAGGCCTTAGGCGTAAGGGAGCTCACCTGTGTGTGTGAATATGCCCACTTTTCCTTTCTCCATCTCTGATAAGAGAAACTGAAGCCTCCTTTCCTAGTGTTTGGCAAAACTTTCACTTTTTAGAGCAACCTCAATTTTTTTTTTTTTGAGAGTTTTTTTCTCTATAGGGCATGTGCGCTCGCCAGACAGAGAGAGACATAGAGACAGAAAGTGAGAAATCACCCCCCCAGGGGGATGGTCACACCGCAATCCCTTCTCCTCCATTCTCCTCTCGGGATCTTGGGCACGCACGCACACGCGCCTGGCGTGAGTTTAAGCCACCGGGTCCGGGATGCGAACTGCGGTCAACTACGTGGGAGTCCAGCAACATAGCCATTACGCTAACTGCTGGTTCCTGAGCAACCTCAATATTAACGTGGTTCTCTTTCTGATAATGTGTTTTTGTGATTCACTATGTACTTTCTTATGGACACAAGCATGCATAATCTTCCAACCAAACACATACACACATACAAACACACACACAATTGCATGACCTGAAAAAGGAAAACAATCTTTTTTTTTTTTTTTTTTTTGCTTTTGCAGAAACCCCAACTGTGCGTATGGATAGCTCTGGGCCTGGAAGCACCTTCAGAGCCACCTGAACTTCAATTCCCTGTGCCCTTTCCCCGGGCATGGAGCAGAGCAGCAGCCACTAAGTTGGGGCTAGGATGGTGCTGGAAACAGGTGGCAAGGGCTTGGCCCCTTTCCAGGAGCGTCTGCTCATGGCTCGAGCCCAGGAGCAAGTCAGGTGGGGACTGGAGTAAGGCGGACAACAGAGGCAAGTTGATTTCTTCTCCAATGAAAGGGTCCCACAGGTCACTGTTAGGGCAGCAGCTGGGATGATGACCCAGGCAGGAGTCCACCATGGCCCCACCATGTTCACATCTAGGAAGCTGTCCAGAGCAACGTGCGTTGACTCCCCAAGTTCTCCTGGCCACCAACAATAGACGGTCTCGTCTGAGTGTGTCTCAGAACCATGCTCCTGGGCAGAGGCCCTGGCACACCTGGTGGAGGCTGTCCTGCCTCAGTGCAGTCATGACTCGTCCCTCTGCTTACAGTCCTTCCCTGCCCTCGCTCTGCCCTCACACAAAGCCCCGGTCCCCCCTGAGCCTGGGCCTTGCGGGATGCTGAGCAATCCCGAGCCTGGGCCCTGTAGGACCCTGCTCTAGCTTTGCTTTGGGCCACCCTCCCTGGTCCACCATCACAAGCTTGCTGCTCACAGGCCAAGTTTTTTCTACTCTGGATGTTGTCAAAGGTGCAGTTTCTCCCTGGGGACACAGCCGAGGGCATGTGAGTGGCGTACCACTTCCTTAGGAAGGCTGTTGCTCCCGGATACCGTCCTTGGTAAATGCCTTCTGGCATGGTTGCTGGCATGCTGACTGCAAATTGCCAAGTTAACTCTAATCTGAGGCCCAGGAGGACCCAGATGGTGCCCACAGTGTTTACCACTGACCCCTGCCACCCTCCTGCAGCATCTGGCCCCATAGGACACGCAACAGCTTTCTTTAATGAATCCCAAATGGGAGGCGGGCATGGTGCTGTCAGAGGGGGGCCGTTCTGCAAGGTGGATGACAAAGTCCACGTTGCTGTGTGTTGTTTTCCTGGGGTATCTCAGAGCCGCAGACTGCACGACGCTTGCAGATTCCCCTGGACTTCCACTGCAGTCCTCCCTCTTGGCCAGACAGTCACTCTGCAGAGAACCAAGGCCATTAGGCCTTTCCTTCTGGCTCTCTGTGGGATATTTCTACCAATGGGACCTCCAGCCCTCTCCCAGCATGCTCCAACACGGAGGACGCACTGCCTCCTGCAGCAATCCCTTTCTTTTTTTTCCTTGAGAGAGAGCTTTTTTCTATAAGGCATATGTGCTCACCAGAGAGACAGAGAGAGAGAATGATAAAGTGAGAAATCAGCCCCCAGGGGCGATGGCCACACCACAATCCCTTCTCCTCATTCTTCTCCCAGGATTTTGGGGCACGCATGTTTACACGCCCAGGATGAGTTTTAAGCCACCAGGTCTGCGGCTTGAACCGTGATCAGCTATGTGGGAATCCCTGCACCTTCCTCACTATGCCACCTGCTGGCCCCACAGCCATCCATTTTTATCATGGGTTCAACCTGGAATGTTAAAAAGTGTTATGTAAAGCTGGGCCCAGAGGCATGTGTCCGCAGTTCCCGCTACGGGGAGGCTGAGACGGAGGATTGCGAGTTTAAAGCCAGCCTGGCAACATAGCTCGGCCCTGTCTCTAGAAAACAAAACAACAACAAAATAGCCATATCTAATTCTTTAGCAAAATTTCTTCCTTGTTATTTTACTCATCGGAGAAACGCGAAAAACTAGAATTCTTTCCTCACGCGAC